TGCACAGTCAGAGCACAGTAAATAATAAAATGCACTTGAAATAAAATGTTATTAGATGAAATTCAATTTTATTTTATAGCTCAGAAAGTACTTCTAGTTTTTGCAGCGCCACTGAACATATGAACCTCAATTTGTTGATTCAGTCTTCTCTTCACTTGTGAAAGTTCTAGGGGTTTGGGTTGAATCTGTACTTACTTTATCATTTATTACAATGTTGGTTAACTATTTTATTAGAAGACATTATGGATCATGCCTTATTCAGTGTTGTATCCTCAGTGCCTGGCATATACTATGGACTCAATAAATATTTCTTGGAGTAATGAATAAATATAATTCTCACTTTTCTGTTTCTCACAAAATCAGGAAATAGAATATACTCTTATTATATTTGGGGTCAATGAGAAAAGAGAAATTTAGTGTGCTACTTTAGTTATTTTTGTTGATGGGTTAATATACATTCTTCCTTCACATCATCTGGACCTTTTTCCCTCTTTTCAATATCACTACTTAATATGTGAGTCTCAGGTTCATTTGCTCGAACACAGGCACATTGTAAACTATATGATGAGTAGAATTGGATGCTGTAGCAGCTATACAAGGCACAGACACAGCATACCACAAATACCATTATGCAATGACAATGGAGGGGATCCATAGAATCTACATTAATATCTGCAGATTTCCCTTTACAATAAAAGATATGAGTTGGAATGAGAATAAATCAGAAAATAGGGAGGTTGTAGTGGTATCTGTTGTCACATATTCTAGTTAATTTTGGAGCAGCACTCAGACCAACTTGGGTCAGTATTAGCCAGAGGAAAATGAAAGTCAGCACTTAAAGGAGTGTCCATCATCATAGCAGGTGGTCAGTAACTATCTGGAGGATTAAGTGGGAAAGGGTTAGAATACTATTGGAATTCTTGGTTCTTTTTATCCCCAGGTGCTTGTTTACAAAAAGTGCTTAAAGTATTGACTTTTTGCACAAGGAAGGTGGCAAGTGTACTGACTCAGGAGCAAGGCCGTAATAACGATGCTTGTCCTTAGCTGGCGACACACTCCTGCCCTTGGAGATTCTGTACCAACTGTGTCTTTGTTTACCACTCTATGATGATTAAAATACACCACCTACATATTTCACATGAGTGAACCAGGATGAATGAATGGATGTTTGCAAGCACCCCAGGGTCCAGGAGGTGAAGTTATGCAAACATCAGTTGTTATTATATCACCCTCTGCCCTTGGCTAAGGGCCAATGTCAACAAGTTCTCTTTTTCCCATCTGCCTTAGAGTTTTCCATGAAGATTTAGATCCTGAAGGTGAAGTGGGCTTTGTTCTCCTTCTACTCCTAAAGATGCTGTGTGGCCTTTGACACATGTTTCCTCTCTGGGTCTTAATTTCCTCCTCTAGTAGAAAGGAGCTGAATTATGGTCTGCAACTGGTGACCTGTAGATGTGTTTTATTATCTTGTGCAAGTGTCTTGTCATGTTTTGCTTCATTTTTAATGTGCTTTTGAATCCCTCTGGGAGAAGGTGCCTTCTCAGGTGTGACCAAAGCTCTACCACTCTCTACACCTGTCTTCATTCATTTACATTCTGTTCTTGGGCCAGGATGGCGTTAGACACCCTGGTACTGCATGTTCTCTGAGGTTTATTCTTGTCATAGCTGTCTCTTTTCTGCTAACTCCACATATAGTTTCCATTGAAGAACAATAACAATGTAATATAAGGGATAAAATCAAGACAACAGTTTAGACTAGAGAACCAGATGTCCTTTCTAAACTGTAATGGGTATTAGCAAGTTATGTTTCTTACAGGATTTCCTCAACTTTTTGCTCACCTTATTTTGAAAATGTGTGTGTATTTGTTTATTTTCCAGCAATTTGACCAATTTAACTTGACATTTTCTGTGGAGGATTTATAATGTTCTAAAGCATACATAATTTGAAAAGTCCAAGCACTATATATTTGTGAGATTTAGTGCAAATATTCTTTGCAAAAAGAAAATCGTTTATTTATTCTCAAAGCACTTTAACTACATAAACTGCTGAAGTTGTAAATACATTTTAAGAGTGTATTTTGAAATAATTTTAGACTTAACATAAAAACTGCAAAAACAGCACAGAATTCCCGTATACCCTTCACTCAGCTTCCCTTAATGTTGACATTTGCCATCGCCATGTTACAGTCATCAAAACTGAGAACTAAACATTTAACCAGTGCATTTTAACATGTTTGTCTTATCTCTGGCTGCTCTATGCGAATTTTTATCTTATTTTAACTACCTTTCTCAGAGAATCACTATTAGAGGAACTTTTAGAAAAATATCTACAGTAAAGGAATTAGAGAAATGGTTTTCCATTTTGTACTTCTAGTTAGTTACGGGGCTGAAAGTTCTCTAAAGTATTGTAATATGTCGCTTTGAAAACAGGCAGAACTCTAACTTGTCATCTAAAATGAAAGGTTAATCATTATTCGTCAGAAGAAATAGAGACTTCTTGTCAGTACAGGAAGTTCTAACTTCCTTTTGTGGTAGGGTTCATTGCAGTTTATTTTAGTGCTTTTTTCAAAATAATAAACCTGACAAGCCAAAGTGGTAATTAACTTTAGTCTGATGTATTTTCACTGTTATTACTTTTTAATTGATTGATTGATTGTTTTTTTTGTTTTTTTGAGACAGAGTCTCACTCCGTTGCCCAGGCTGGAGTGCAGTGGCATGATCTCAGCTCACTGCAACCTCTGCCTTCCGGGTTCAAGTGATTCTCCTCCCTCAGCCTCCTGAATAACTGGGACTACAGGCGTGCACCACCACACCTGGCTAATTTTTGTGTTTTTAGTAGAGACGGGGTTTCACCATGTTGGTCAGGCTGGTCTCGAACTTCTGACCTCGGGTGATCTACCTGCCTTGGCCTCCCAAAGTGCTGGGATTACAGGCACGAGCCACCACTCCCTGGCCTGTTATTACCTTGTAAGTTTTGTTTTTAACCATTAGTAATTGTGGTAAATAAAATGGAGTATTTACAAAGATGCAACGTAAGCGATTAGTAGGAAAAAAAAAAAGATATTTGTGGATTTGTGGGCGATTTACCATAATGATTCAAATGACTCTGTTTTATATTTAGTAAAGATGAGGCCACCTGAGGATCTTTTGAGTAGCTAAGGCAACCATGGAATAGAAACGGGTTTCTGGGTAGAGATCTGAAAGCCATATCACAAATACTCCCTATGTTATTTAGTTAGTAGGTTAATATTGCACAATTTAAATTAATTACAGTCAGTTAGGTAATTTTGCCATGGCATGTGTTTCTTTCTCTGTCATATGTGTTTACTCAGCAGTTACCAAGACATCACGAGCAAATGAGGCGCATCTCTGGGGACTTCTTTAGCATTAACCCAAATTTCAAACAATAGAGGACAGAAGTTACTTGTAAGCGTTTCTTTTAAAAAATGGATTTAAAAATTCAAAAATGAATCATAACTGTGATTATATCTGTACTTGTCTAGGGCTGTAAGCACCAAACCCATGGGCTGTCCCCTGAGGTTTGGAAAGATCTCTTCTCTCCCATCTGAGATGGTGTTCAGGTCCCATGAGTGAGGTGTACAAAAAAAGCAAAGACACTGAAAGTTTCTGTTTTTAAAGTAGCAGGCCTTTGGTTTTTATATATAATCTTTCACTACTGTGACTACTCCCTATATAAAAAAATAACAAACTAAATTTCCACCATCTCATTAGAATGGAAGAAAAACCCATATAGGTACAAGTGTTTGTTTAGCAAATTCTCTAACACTTATTTTACAGATAAGGCCAAAAGTTTTTATAAAAAGCAAACGTTTTTGGCCTAACATCACTGGTAAAATAAGTGTTAGAGAATCAGTGGTTTTCTATTTTTATTTTTAGCAATAGAATCCTTTTCTCTAATGAAGCTGTACGCAGAACCCCAGAGAAATAAGATTGCTTTGGTTTTAAGTGGAGAGTCCACCTTGAGCTTTAACTGCTTGGCCACAGTTCTCCTTTCCCAGCCTCACTCTCGCCCTCTCCTGGTTGTCAAGGAATTGTCAATTCCTGGGTTAGTCCCCTCAGAATTCTGTACTTAGGGCTGTGGTTCTCAGTTAGAGATTCATCTAGGGTTGCTGTGAAAACAGTTTTGTTACTTAAAAAGATAGACTTTAATAATTCAGACCAGTGCTATTAAGGTGATATTCAGACTGGTGTGTTACTGGTCCATGAGCAGATAAAGACAGAAATTGAGAGTAAGAATTTAGAAATATTTACAGCACTTCAGCATTGCCATGGCAGCGTGGGCACATCACCAGTGGAATGGTCTCACTGAACAGGATTTGAACCAAAAGTATCAGTCCATAAAAGATTGGAAATTAAAAAGAGTTCTTTATTACAGATAGTTTCAGAAGCACAGCGATGCATATTTTCTTATATAGAACTCTTAAGTTTCCTCCAATGACTGAATAATTCCTGAATGTGCTCAGGATTATTACAACATCACAAATGCTCATCAGTTGATTTTATTTATCAAAGAGCTTTATGAGCAATTTGTTGACCTAAAAGAGTAATGACACAGGTTTCTTTAAAAATAATCCTTTTATCCATTCATCCATTTATTAGGCATTGCATTCAATAAATATTTTTTGCCGACCATTCGCCATTCTGTGGTGAATAATGGAAGCCCAATTCCTGGCCTTCTGTGGTAATCAGGCAATTGTAACATCAGAATCTCCCAGAGCAAACCTATACATTTGATATTGGAATTTCCTGATTATCGCATAATAATAATAATAATATGTGGGGAGTATAGGCTGCTCAGGGGGCATCGAGAAGGAGCACCAGACTTGGGATGTCAGAGGAGGTTCTAAACCTTAAAATAAGTAACTGTTAAAAGCAAATAACCCACAAAATAAATCACTCCTTACAGATTGTGATATCTATTTTTTGAGGGCTTATACCATGCTTACACTGTGTCATGCACTATGTGCTCTTCTATGTGTCAGGGACATATTTGTGGATGAAACAGACACAGTCCCTGCCATAGGAGGCTTATAAGCTAGTTCAAGGGAATCAATAAATGGACAAGAGGATTTCCAATGTTGATGAACTCCAGAAGGAAAGAAAACAGAGTGCTGTGGTAAGTATGAGTATGTGGGGGTGAATATGTCACAGAGATTCATCAGAGGAGCCCCCACTTAGGAGAGCACATCTGACCTGAAACCCAAAGGATATGGAGAAGCCAGCGTGAGATTATGGGAAAAGAACAGCAAGCAGGCAGAAAGTGCCAAGGCTTTAAGGCAAGAATATAGTTGGCATGTTCATGGGTACAAGTGGTTTTAGTCTGTTTTGTGCTGCTATGATAGAATAATACAGACTGGGGTATTTATTTATTCATTTCTTTTTAAGAGACAGGATCTTGTGCTGTTGCTCAGGCTGGAACGCAGTAACACCATGAGGGCTCACTGCAGTCTCAACATCCTGGGCTCAAGCAATCCTCCTGCCTTAGCTTCTTGAAGCTTGCACTACAGGTACACACCACCACACTTGGCTTATTTTTAAGTTTTTTGTAGAGATGGAGTCTTGGTATGTTGTCCAGGGTGGTTTCAAACTCTTGACCTTCAAGCGATCCTCCCGCTTCAGCCTCCCAAGGTGTTAGGAATACAGGTGTAAGCCATCATGCCTGGCAGACTAGGTAATTTATAAAGAACAGTTCTGGAGGCTGGGAAGTCCAAGATCAAGGTGCTAGTAGGCTTGGTGTCTGGTAAGTGTCCAGTCCCTGCTTCCAAGATGGCACCTTGAACACTGCTTTCTCTGGAAGGGAGTCACACTTTTTCTTACATGGCAGAAGAGCAAAGAGAGAGAACTCATTCCTGAAAGCCCTTTGTAAAATGCACTAAACCCACTCATGAGGACAGAATCATGACTCAGTTATCTCTCAAAGGTCCTACTGTTTTAGTGGCAATTAAATTTCAACATGAATTTTGGAGAGGATAGACATTCAAACCATAGCAGTTGGCATGTTTTTGGGTTCATGTTTCTCTCTAGAAAGCCAACATGGCTGAAGTGTAGGAAGCAAGGGAGAGAGGGGAGGAGGCAAGCTCAGCGCAGTGAAAGTCATGATTGGAAGCCAAGTCCAATAGCAGGCCACAGGAAGGTTGTAAGCCACAGAGTGGTATGATCTGATTTACATTTTAAAGCATTCCCTGGGGATGTAGAGGAGCAAGGGTGGAAGCAGAGAGACTGTTGAGGGGGTTGTGGCAGTCATCCAGGCAGAGAAGATGGTGGCTTGGAGTAGGGTGATAGCACTAGGAGTGGAAAGAAGGGAAAGCTAACTAGTTTTGCTGGTGGCTTGAATATGGGAGGTAGAGGAAAGAGAGGAGCCAAGAATGTCCCCTGAACTTTTGTCTAGAGCGCCAGTGTGGTACCAGGTACCAAGATGGGGAGCACTAGGGGCATTTGGTCCTGGGGGTGGGGGTCAAGAGTTCTGTTTAGGGTATGTGAAATTTGGGATGCTCATTAGGCATCCATATGGTGACTTTGTGAATTTAGGAGGTCAGAATGGGGTTAGGGCTGAACATATAAATTTATAATTGCTGATGGTGTGTAAAACCATGAGACTGCAAGAGATTCTTGGGAGAGGGGGCAGATAGAGAAGGGAAGAGGACCAAGGACTGAGCTGCTAGGACACGAGATCATGCCAACATCTGGCGAGGTCAAGCAAAGAAAGAGGGAAATTCAACTCAGTAGTTGGAAACTAATGCAGTAGGCGCTGCTTAGTTTGTATCCATAGCAAAGATACTTTACCTTCATTATCCACAGCTCTTCCACATGCAGTCGGTGATTGTAGTGGATGTATGTGGGCACTCTACCCGGAGCCTCCCCCATTCCTTGGGACTGTGTATCCTGGTATTGGCGTCAGTGTTCTGCTGTAACAGCTAGATTCTCTATGTCTTTTTTAGAGGACTGCCTGTAAGTGACTTGGAGTCACTACCACAAGAGAGGAGTGCCTGGGGAGTTATGACTGAAGGCTACAGGAACATGAGAGCCAGGCTTTCACTTCTCTCAGTTTAGACAACTCTGAGTACTAATCTACACTGCAGCATTCCTCCATGGACTTAGACTGAAGCTACCCTCCAGAGAGCTTTTGCGTTAGCACCCTTACCTGACCTCTATTGGGAATGCTTTCTTAATACATTGTCTGCCTTTGGGCAACTTGACTTAACATATCAACTGCCCTTCCTTCCCCCATCTCCCATTTTGTTTTATAGTATAGACATTAGTATAATGTAATCATTTTTGTTAATTTAAAATGGGATTAGGTTAAGCATTTTAAAGCATTCCCAACTTCTCAAAGCTTTTTTTTTTCAGAATATCTCCGTTTGAGCAGCCGTTAAATGGAAAGGATTTTGTTTTTTATCCTAAAGGCAATTGTCTGTTTTTGCTGATACTGGTGAATTTGTTTACTGTTTAATTAAGTGAAAGATTTCCAAGGAGTCATCTATATTCAGCCTTCCAGCTCGTAGAGTACATGCTGATCTCAAACAGATATAACGATTAGATCATTATTTCCTGTTCACACACTTGGTCAATACAATTACGGAAATTAAGCAAGAGAATAAGACAGGGTGTTTAGCGAGTTCGATAGTGGTAAATGCGATCCCATTCTAGCAGAAGCAGCCTGTGAGCTTTTCTATAGGCTCTCTCGTGCTTGTCATTGTGGCTTCAATTTTTGCTTCTAAAACAGTCTGTAGCTATAGTTTGAGCAGGAATTTGAAGCCAACAGCAGGACAATGTGGCTATGTAGAGTTTTTCTTGTGTCTTTGAGGGAAGAGTAAAGTTAGATTCTATTAATTTGAATGGATTTCCATTTAATTTAGAACTTATGGGACATTTTTGTATTTGCATATTAAAAACACTTGCATCTTTTGCTTTTAAACACTAACTAAGATCCTCCATTCTTTTTACCTCCCCTTCTCTCCCTTCTCCCTTCTCTTCCTTTCTTTTAGAGTAAAAATAGATGCTAAATCGCTACCTGAACACCTCACAAACATGTTTCAAAGTTTGTGAGTGGGTTTTTGTTTGTTTTTTTGCTTGTGGTGGAAACGCATACCTGTAATAGCTTCCTTAACCTTTTAGCAGTTGTCAGTCTGAGCGCGGGCATAGAAAAGGGTCAATAAATATTTGTTGAATGAAAGAGGTGGTGTTATATCCTAGGTGCAATCCTAAAGTGTTAATATTGGACCTTTTATTGTTGTGCTCCTGTGCTGAGAGACTTGGTCTCTGGCTCTTAATTGTAGCCCAATTATTTGTCAAAAATATGACAAATATAATGGGAAAATCATTTTTAAATCCTTAAACTGTCTTTGAGCATTTCACAAAATTAAATTTCACTAGATTCAGTGGACGTGAAATGCCCATTGGTACATTCCTTTTGCCTCTAAATACTTCTGAAACACTTGGATTTTGACCATAGATTTCACAATACATTGAAGCGTGCTATTATAAGACAATAATGCATACTTTTTCATGCCTGAACAACACATTGAAGTCAAACTGTGGCATTGAAGCCTAGTTGGAAAATTTTACATCCAGTCAAATTAAACCCATAGTACACACTTAATTTTGTATTTGTTATGTAATTGAAAATATGGGCATCTTCAACTTTCTATTTCTATTCTGAAAACTAAAATAATTGCATTAGAAATTGATTAAGAAAAATAAAAGCAAACCAATTGTTCTTTGTCTATTGACATACCCATACTTACCTTCTGAGTGAGGGTAAAGCATGCCCTAAATGTTCCCAATGTCCTTTGAATGATAACTAGTAAATGGTATTCATATTAACATGTTTATTATTGTATTAGAACTGAATCTAGGTGTTCCATGTTTAAATAGATGTTATAAGTGGGTTTTGTCTGTATTAACTGAGAAAATTTTGGTGCATACAACCCAACTAAAATTTTCCCTCTGGTTTAATTTGAAAGGAATGCGATGTTAATTCTGGGGCGTTGATGTTTTACAATGCCTGATCAAGACAAAAAGGTGAAGACCACAGAAAAATCAACTGATAAAAAACAGCAAGAAATCACCACCAGGTAACTCCCTACTGAGCGTTTGCTAATTATTAACTCAGGCAGTGGTTACTGAACAGATTTAATGGCTTTTTGAGAAACAGAGAAGACTCTTGACAACTACTATTCAGTTATAGTGTTTACTGAAACGTTTGGTCATTTCTAGCATTCTAAAGAAAATGTTTAGTGTGTGTATACGTTCCAGTTGATAAAAGCAGGCCTCCAAGTGGCAATGCCATCAGTGAGTAATACAATCTTGTTCACCTGGAGCCTTCTGTGGGTTCACATTGTGTTATTCTTTCTCCTAGGGACTATTCAGATCTCAAAAGACTTCGGTGCCTTTTGAACGTCCAATCAAGCAAACAACAGGTAGTGTTTACAAAGAAGGTTCATGTGGTAATAAAAGAAAACTCATATGTTTCCAAAGGACTCCATTTAACATCTCTATGAATGATATGTCTGCTTTTCTTTGCTCATTCACATTTTTGCTCTTTCTTCATCTGGCTGTTTCTCTGACACCTGATTCAGGCTCTGCCAAGACTTAGCATCCACATTCTTCTCTCAGGCCAGGCCCTGCTTTAGCCTATGCTTGTCACCCTGTGTCCTACTTAGCAAACCCTTTCCTCTTCGGTCTGTAAACAGACTGCATACTCTTTTACTGAATGGCCAACATTTGGCTTTCCAAGCTTTAGGGAAACTTTTTTTCAAAGCACTTTCTACCACATTTTTCTCCTCCTCCCCCCTCACTCTTCCCAATCTTGCCCCCTTGCCACAGTACCATTCTTGAGGCTTGCTGCACAATGTACCTCACCAAAAAGAGGGGCAAGGAGTGAATTTTGGCTATTTTTATAGTAGCATTGTAATGTTTTTATTAGAGAAAAAGTGGTACTTCTGCTTGAATTTATCTCCAAACTTTTCATTTTTGTTTTGCACCTGTGACACTTTGGAAAATCATGAGATTAGAGGCCATCCAGGGAGGCTTGGGGAACAACATAGCAATGCTAATAATAATGAAAATACCAGACACGTATTTAGCACCTTAACTCGTAAATGACAGGGATGGGACCTGAACCTTGGTAGTTTGGCTCTAAAGTCTACATTGTTCTTGCTTAAGTAAATTTGTTTAAGAGCTCATGTGTTTGGTAATCCAACCCTGATGATTTTTGTTATATCGACCACATTTACACGAGAACTACAGCATTTTTTTGTTTATACTGGAAAATGATTTGATGGCATATAAAAGCCAAATAATGATAGTTTATATTTAGGGAACACTTTCTATGTGCCCACTGCTTTACCTGCATTACCCTGCTTAATAATTACAACTCCCATTTTTACAGATAAGGAATCAGGCACGAAGAAATCAAGTGACTTTCCCAAGATCATACAGCCTCCTAATTGGTGAAGTCTAGTTCTGAACCCAGATACCCCATCTTTGCTGTGTATGCTTCTAACTACTGAGATACCTGTTAAATGACTTGCAAAATTAAGTCCCTCCTTTCTTAAAAGAGGCAAGCAAGATGGCTAGGCATACAGTTTTGAGTGTAGTGCCCATTCTTTCCCACTGTACGTCCTGTGATGTAAACATAATATCAAAGACTTCTACTTTTTGCTTTTACTATTTCCTTCTCCTAAATTTCTTTCTTATAAAAATCTCACCCATTTCCAAGACCCAACTCTAATGATACTACCTCCTTGTAGCTTCCATTCTAGAAGTGATCTCTGTCTTCCCAAGGCTCCTTCTTTTAATGCTGTAGCATTATTTTCTCCTGTGCTTTGGAAACTCTTGTTTACATGTCTTATTTCCTGACAGATCATGTATGTCCTAATGCCAGCAACTTTGACTTTTGCCTCTCATTCACTCTATATGATGAGTTCTTGGCCAGATTTTGCTAAATCGAATTGTGACTTGAGAATTGGGTCACCACATGAGTATGTATAACCTCCTGACCAGGGCAAACAAAAACATAAACGAAAAGCAATGTGTTTTTTCTGGCTCTAATTTTCCAACTTTGAAGTTTATGCTGACTAGATCTCTTATATGCCCTTTCAACACTGTTTGCTTGATAACACCTGGCAGGCTTAAAGTTAATTTAGTGATTTTTTTCCCCCTTTAACCAATTTTCAAATTTGCAATCTGTTGTGGGACAACTTTACATGGCATATATTTTTGTAAAATCTTTTACATGTACAAAAATGTATATTTGTAATACTTGAGTTATTCAGAAAGTAGATGGTGCAAAATAAAAATAAAAATACTGTCAATTAAATGAAGGTCCTTAGGTTTACAAAATTAATGCTTAATTGTGTTTATAAAAGTTTCATTGATTTGTAATTTTGAAATAAGAAATGTTACCCTGTTCTCCTTTTGGTAAAATACGTGGAGACATTTATAGGAGAGGGAAGACACTGGAGAAAATAACTCAAGTTACAGTTATTTATACTTTGCTTATTCTGGAAAGAGCCATTAGGAGCTTATAAAGAGACAGAAAGTATGATAGGTTGTCATACATTAAAACCAGGGCGCAAAATAAGAGAAAAACAAGTGTTGGGAGCAAACTAGAGTTGGGGTCAAGCAGAAATGCTCAACAAAATATACACGTGGGCAATATATTTGGCTCTGAGATTTTCAGGACTCAATTTGAAAAGTGAAACCTGTGATTAAGGCCCACTCAGCTGCATTTCTGCCCTAACAAGTTGTGGCCTGTTTTTCGCAAATGAACCAGGCTGGCCAAATTCAAGTTACAGAAGAAATCTACTTTGTGGGTAGAGAGTGCAAAGAATTGAATGCCCGTCCTCTGAATCTCTAACGAGCCAGGCTGCTTCCACCATTGGTCCATTGTGTTCCAGTGTTCTACCTTTGTTCTTTGTCCTGACCTACACTCCGTGTATCTCTGCATATCTCTAGGACAGTCTCATAATGTGACAGAACTGGAGACAGAGACACACAGAGGCAGAAACGCCTCCTTCAAGATAAGCAGGGTTAGAATAATCATAATCCAGGAAAACCCAATAACTCAAGAAAAAGAACTGCCCCAGGATTGCTGAGGCAAAGTGAAACTACAACGCTGATTGGAGATGTCACCAGAGGTTTTCACCAATCTTGAAGCAACCTGCTAAGATCTGGAATTCAGATTCTTTTCTTCCTCCACATTTAGAGCCATAGGAAGCTACGGAATTTATATGCAATTTTTTAAAAAAAAGATGGAATAAAGAAAAAAATTAATGTGTTGTGGGCTTATTAATTATCTTGAAATGAAGGAGGTTTCGATAGATGCTGTAGAAAGAAAACGTATACAGCATGGCGGTGGTGGTTATGTTTTGAGAGAGCGGGAGTAGGGACAGATAATTATGGCATGAGGCAAGACACCATCCTGGTTGAATGGTGCATGCAGCGAGGATATAGCTTTTGAGGAATAGGAAGCCAGTTTTAGCTTGAATGACAGGGAAGGAGGTGGTTCTTAAAAAATAGGCTGGTTTTTCCATCGGTGGAATTGATGGAAAGGGCATTCTAGGTTAAGTGAGTAAAATAATCAAATATCCAAAGGAAGGAAAATGACAAGCATTTAAGTAAAAGAGTGACTAGACATTTCTATTGGATAAATAAAGCTGGAAGATACTGTGCAGTGTCTGAAAGCCCATCTATGAATTCTGGACTTGATTCCATAAGCAACAGAGAACGTTGAAGTTTGCAAGCAGAAGTGACACGACATTCTTGACATTGTGGTTCATGGACTGCAACCCCCTCCATGACCCATGGGACTGCAAGCTCCTTGAAGACAGAGGCCATGACTGTTCTGCTTACTGTATATATACGGTGTCTCACACGACGTCTGGTGTATGATGTGTCTGCAACACCTACACTGAATTAATGGATGAACTTATCTGGAGGTGGTTTAGCAGAGGAATTAGTTTGGCGAAGAGACTGGGAACAAAGTGAGCATTCGTTCCACAGCTTCACATCTGAATACCTACAATATGCCCAGCTCTGTGAGAAGTGCTAAGAACACAAAGATTAATAGATGTGATGCTGCCCTCAGGGTGGCCAAATTCAAGGGGAAAGGATGTTGTGTAAGCTATACATTCTACGAGCCCGAGATGTTTTGAAAGAGAGGTAAGCATGGTATTGCCACCAGGCAAGGAGTGAACAGCTCTATCCAGGAAGGCTTGGGCAAGTGCTTGCCAGGAGGGTAAGTCACACCCTGACCCAAGCTCAGGAGTAACAGGCTGCAGATGCCCAGGTGTGGAAAGACCAGACACACAGAAGATAGACAAATTGGGGACCCAAGAGAAAAGGCTCTGGGTTTTGAACTGGATTCTGAATGTACATTTCTTTCATATGAAGTGCTGCTTGCTTCAAGGTGCCTACTATTAAGTTCCTGGTCTTTGCAACTATTGATGCCAAATCCATCTCTCTACCCGTTCTCCATGAGTTGATTTCTGATACAGGCCGCCCGCTCTGCTGCAAAGGGAATGGTGGCAAGCTGCGGCAGCTTTCCACTCCTCCCTTGGAGTCACCTGGGCTTGCTTTCTCTGTGCTGGCTAATTTGTCTCTTGCAAACTTTTCTAGGAGTTGTGCTAATGGTAAGGGGGTTTAGAATCTCTTGGGCCTGGAAAACCTCCTCCTTTTTTTGCCATGTATCATGATATTTTGGGTATAACATGGGAAAATTTGCTCGTGCTGTTACTTCATGTTAGATATCATTTGGATTAATAGTTGATATTCAGAAATCACCTAATTTGTAATGACAAATTTTATTCATTTAGCAAAATTCATCTGTATAATAGGAATAATTATGAGGATTAAAAGAGTATGTACAAAGCAACTAGAACTATGCTTGACACATAGCAAGTGTTTTATAAATTACTGTTTATAATTACTCATGCAATTTTCATAACTCTTGAGTTATATACTATTATTATTTTGATTTTAATGATACAGAAACTGATGCACAGAGAGATTGAGTAAATTTTCTAAGATTATGCAGCTAGTTAATGGGAGATTTAAACTCATAGAATCTGGCCAGGGAATTTGTTCTCTTAACCATTAAGCATTGCTGGCTCAGCCTGTTGTCTTTTGGTGGTTGTAGATTGGCTGACTGAATTGAGATAGAAAAGTAGTTTTACAGGATGGAAGATTTATTATTAACACTTTGAAAATTTGACTGTGGCTGGCAAATGATAAAAAAGGATTTTAGTTTTGTTAACTATTAAACAATGTCTTTATTATAATCCATTTTTCTGTAACCTGGCCTTATAAAAAGTCAGGCATATTCACTTTGAATAAAGAAATGATTTTTTTTTTTGTTTTTAGTTTTTGAGACAGAGTTTCACTTTTTTTGCCCAGGCTGGAGTGCAATGGCGCGATCTTGGCTCATTGCAACCTCTGCCTCCTGGGTTCAAGTGATTCTCCTGCCTCAGTCTCTCGAGTAGCTGGGATTACAGGCATGTGCCACGATACCTCGCTAATTTAGTATTTTTAGTAGAGGCAGGGTTTCTCCATGTTGGTCAGGCTGGTCTTGAACTCTTGACCTTGGTGATCCACCTGCCTCGGCCTCCCAAAGTGCTGGGATTACAGGTGTGAGCCACTACGTCTGGCCGGGAATGATGTCTTCATGCTGATTTACATTAAATACTTCAATGAAATAAGACAACAAGTGCAACATATTATAACTTTGTTTGGTAATATATGGAATATATATGGAATAATTTACTGAAAAAGGATTTTTTTGTTTTGTTATACTCTGCTTACCTCATCTGTAATAATTTAGCTAATTATAGAACGTCCTTCATTTGTACTTTGGAAAAAATAGGATATTTGTCTATACCATGCTCAACTTTGTTATGGTATCAGAAACAAATCTCAGGGTTATCCCAATTATAGACAAATATTGGTAAGTGAAACTATTTGAATACTGACAACCTGACAATTTATTATTGCAAGTGGAAGCATAGTCAAGATGTTGTAGTTACATTTTTACTTACGGTAAATTTGATAATATATTTTTATGTATTTTATAAATATGATTGAGTAATCAGGATGTTCAGACTGATTAAAAGTGATAGAATCTTCTTTATTGTTATATCCCTAACACCAGGAAAATAGTATGTACACCTGGTAAATATTGAAGAATGAATGAATGTATGATGACTCATTCTCAATTTGGGCACCCTGCTCTATATCAGAGTGTTCTACCTGGATCCAGGAGCTGTCTAGTCAGCTTGCACGTTTGAATCACATGAGAAACTTCAAAACCTCCTGATGCCCAGGTGTCACCCCAGACCCATATCTGTTTTAGGTGCTGGGGTAATAGCACTGAACAAAAACAGGCAAGTTCCTGCTTGTGTTGAGGTGACATTACAATCAAGGGAGACTAAAAGTACATAAATAACTGTCAGATATGATAAGTGGTGTTACAAGCTTTGAAGAAAAATAAAACAGTGTAAGGTAGATGTTCAAGTCAAAGATACTTGATTTGAATCTTGTAAAACCCTTACATTTGAAAGGGTTGTTATCTTAATTATTGGCCTGGGAAAAAACTCATTCTCCTCATCCTCCCCATATTTTGTTACTTTCTTTATCCCGTGTTGAATTGTGATCCTCATGTACTCTATGCTTCTATTTCTGTAGCTTCCAGCCATTAACTTCAATAGTGCCCAAAATAGCATGACGAAGTCTGAGCCCGCCATCAGGGCGGGTGGACACAGAGCTCGGGGTCAGTGGCATGAGTCCACAGAAGCTGTTGAACTTGAAAATTTTAGGTAAGAAATCCAGCATCTCCTTCGTCTTCAACAACTTATTCTACTTAGCTCACAGTTTTATTTAAGTTTATCCCAGGAGCTAAAATTAAAAACCCGCTTTAGTAGTTACCATAGAGATTCTTAATTTAATATTTTTAGTTAGTGCTTAAACCATTCCCAGAAATAATATGTAAATAACAGGTTTAATGGGTACAGGTGGAACTGACCTGGGAGATTTAGGACACTATGCTGACATGCGTTTGGCATTGCTCAACGAGGAAGTGGTTCCAGATTATTGACCTGGTTAGGCTTATCCCAATCTTTGTCTGTCTAGATCTTGCCAGTAATGAGACGGCATAAAAGGAGCCGTTGCTGGGAACAGATGTGGTGGTTAAAGTATGTGGTTGTCAAAACAACTGAGGTTTTCGGTTGAAGGCATTGCGGCACACCTCTGACATTGAAAGTGTCAGGTAATGTTCATCTCTGTTGCCACGCAGACCCCTGCAAAGCTCCACGTTCTTGTGGGCCACTCCCCTCTCGGGAGCTGGTTCTCTCAGTTTTACAGTGTGCTTGGGTCATTTGGCACTAAGTACCATGTAAATAGTGAGCGGCATGAAATATCAATATGAATATTCTAGAAGGATCATTTGTTTATTTGGCCTAGATTTTGTTTTTGTTTCCCTGTCATCTTATGACAATGAATTTAATAGTATGGGAAAGTTACATGACATTTCATGGGTTCATATTTTAGAAACATATTTTTAGTGAGGAGCACTTAACTACTTAAAAAATTGTCATATGGTGAGTACCAGTGCCCGTGTACTAAGAAACCATTACAGCCTTCAGGTGACTAGGATGGGGACATGCTGTCCAATGGCATCTGAAAGACTCAGAAGGCAGAACATTACACATGGCAACATAAGGTTATACTCATTTCCTTTGAGGTTGTATGTTCATGGAATTCCAGCTTATTTGTCCTAGATCTTAAAATTAGTTTTATTTAATTACGTGCAAAAATATCATATCGTGTATTTGGTAGCAATATGACCATTTTGTTTATTATCCCTTATCCTTTTCCAGTTTTAAAATAGAATGTTTTAGAGGTATTCTTAACCTCTTTGGTGAGCTGTAAGATCAGCAAAAAGAAGCTGAAGCTGGAATATCTTAGAATTTTGTTAAACACACACACAAACCATATAAACAATCAACAGTGACAGTCAACATGGCTGAAGGTGTATAAGCTGTGTTTAATAAACTCTTCTTATCTAGAAGGAATTATAAATGATGACCACTGGTGTTGACAGTGAGATCAGCCAGTGGGATCGAGGGTATGTGGAAAAGTGGAGAGGCAATTCTTCTCTTCCTGTTACACAGTTGTCTAAATAATGTGCCCCAATCATTCTTTCTCTCCATTTACCCTTTTCTTCCTCCAACCAATTTTAGCTGTTAGTGTTTATAGGGAATAATTTAATGGATATGGTAAAAGGAAATACATACGCTTTACTATATTTTATTTTTAACCTTATAATTGAATTTCTAGTTCCTATTTTAACAGTTGATATTTGCTTTTAGCAACATGTTAAATGCAAGTCTCCTTCAATATTTGCCTGAATCCTCATTAGTATACTGGTTAGTAATGAAAAAAACATTACCTGAATATAGATGATCTTTGCCTGCATTGGCGACTTTGAGACAGCCTGATCTCTATAACAAAATCCTTTTCCGTTTGTTTCGTCTCAGTATAAACTACAAGAATGAGAGAAATTTCAGCAAACATCCTCAGCATAAACTATTTCAGGAGATCTTTACCGCCTTGGTGAAAAATAGACTCATATGCAGGTAAGATTGTTCCTGGAAAACAGGCTTTTACTCAAGAGTGGCATATGTCATCTATCTTGTCTCTAGAACATGATTTGAAACATTTCCAGGATTGAACATGTCATTAAAGGAGAGAAGGAGGCGAATGAGTAGGCATTACAGATGATCTTATTAAAATCACTGATGAGGTACCGAATTTAGCTGAATTTGATGACAGATAAGGAAAAATGGGAAAACACTCAAGTTATGTTTTCTTTATTTTCTTTGAGTTTGGATACTGAAGGAGGAGTTTATTGTGTGGGATCTTACGAAAGAGACACTGGACGACACCACGGACAACATTCTCATGGTGCACTTTTGCAGTGATTTAATGACTGATTAAATGGACTGCGCGAGCCTTGACCTTGAGGAAAGAAAGGATGAGTCTGTAACAACCAGCCACAGCCTCAGAAAGATGTTTCTTCTTTCTTTCTTTGCCTTGTTAACACGGGTGCAGTGTTGGGACTGTAGAGAAAGAATTAGTTAACAAGGCCTCTCGATTCTCTCTCACAAATATCAGGGGTTTTCAGGGAGCCATTGATTGTTGCTGGATTGCAGTCAGGTCTGAATTTTCTGTCCATTCTGAGCTGCTTCATAGAAAAACTGGGTATGCTGCTGCCAGATGCGAAGGAGGCTCCAAACAGTCTGTCATGATAGGGTCCTGTCTTTTGCTCTTTTCAGGAGGCCCATACTCTTCCCACATGCATCAGCTGAAAAATGCTATAAAGAATCTTAAGTCTTCCTTGTCACTTTGTGACTTGATTGAGATATGTGAATTCCATCCCAGTGAAAATGGAAAAACATTATTTCTATTGTGAAAAATAAAAATAGGAGTATTAATAATTTAATGCCTTGATCAAAATAAAACTGACTTGGCCCAGTGCAATAGCTTATTTTAAGTAGAACAGCATTCTGATGGGTCCTCCATGACGAGTCAGCTACTCGATACATGCTTAATTGATGGCCTCATGTCTCCATCTTTTGGATGGGGTCATTTAGCATTATGTATTTAAGTATTGGACTTAAATGACTGTCCTATACATTAGTTTTCTTTAAAACAATACAGAATTGAGACTGCATCTGTCACGTCTTTGTACTTTATTTAAGCAGAGGATTATTAGACTGGCTCGGATGATACAAGAAGCCTAAAATCTTTACCAAGGTTATGTAATTGGGTCAGTGTTCAGTTCTCGATTACACACTCAAAGATTGTTCAAAGATTAATGAACACTGCAAATAACCTGAAGTTATGTGTGTATATATATATATCTCAACTGTTTTTTGCTTAGATTGAACAGAGTGAAACAATGGTAGTAGCAGAATCATTATGCATAAAACAGTATTAGGAAATAAAGTTTTTTGTTTTTGTTTTTTTTGTTTTTTTTTTAAAGCCAGCTCACATGGACTCTTCAAGGGATGCCCAGTAGACTATTTATTGGGTCAATACTTTGGGGGAAGACACTAGATGCAGAAATTGTTAGGGAAAATAACTGGGCACTGGTTGGCATCAACTAATTGAAAAAGATCTCAACAATTCTAAAGTTGAGAAATCTCTTTTCAGGGTGTTTTAAAATTCTTAGTAATTGAAGGGGCATCTTAGGCTGGATGAAGTTACTGGCTGGTAACACGAGCGGTCCCTGGAAGTCTTCAACCTAGGAAGAGATAATTGTAGATCTCTTTGCTTTCATAGTACGAGATGGAATTTAGGAATGTCGAACATCAAGGGCATCCTTTAATGTCATCCTGTGGCTGCTGACAGCTTGCTATGTTCAGTTCTATTCTAAAAGCATTGGGTAAAAGATGGCTTAAATATAAAGGTTTTCCATTGTGCCTCACCCCATATAACCTTGCTAAAATAGCCGGGACCATCCGTCCTTTTTTTCCTTCCCCTCTAACTTTAGACTTATAGAAGAATTACACCTCAGGACCTTTTCTGATATGACTTGTTACCCCCTTTGTTTGCAAACATCAGATTTAGTGTTGGGTTGAAGGTTTAGATTCAATTTGATAAACAAACTGGTAAGCATCTACTATATGTAAGGAAGGGATTAAATGGTAAAGAAGGGTGAAATTTAAAAAATTAACAGGACATATGGTCCTTTTCTCCCTGGGAACTCAAATACTACTCTGATCAGCAAGACGATTACCCAATAAAGGAAAATGTACTAAATATATACAATTTGTATTAACGCAACTAACTAAAGGCTGCATGAGATTGGGGGTGGGTGGGAATTTGGGTCCTTGGTCCAATTATGGTTGTAGATAAGACTATAGATAAGACATTCAGCATGTTATGCTACTCAATTTTGCCCTGAAAAATATGACTTACTGGGAATTTAGTCTCATTTGTGAAGTGTGACCCCTTTCAACTCACTTCTCAATGCCTACCCAATTGGTGGTAATGTTGCTCTTGTATTTTACTCACCCCAACTCTAGCCTTTCCCTAAATCACACTTGTGGACACCTCCTTTCTGTGTTCTTTTCTGTGATTTGTGATTACTCCCCCATTCTCAGAATGAAACTGCCAGATGGCATCTGAAACTGGAAAAGACTTGTTAATCCAGAGTCAGATAAGGTAACACTGCAAATACCTCACAGTAAATCTCAAAGGACAAGGGAAAGTGTCATCCCTGAGCGTGGGGTTACTCCTAGTTACACAATGGTAACTAATCTTTTTTAAAAAATCCTTGTATAATGGTATTTATTTATAATATACTGCTATATAATATTTTACATATTTATGGGGTACATGTGGTATTTTGTTACATACATAGAATGTGTAATGATCAAGTCAGGGTATTTGAGGTGCCCATCACGTTGAGGATTTGTCATTTCTATGTGTTGAGAACTCTCTTCTAGCTACCTTGAAATAGACAATACGTTGTTGTTAATTATAGTCACGCTACTCTGCTGTCAAATGATGGAACTCATACCTTTCGTTTAACAATGCATTTGTACCCGTTAACCTACCTCTTTATCCCCCCGTTGCGCTCACCCACCCTTCCTGGACTCTGGTATCTATTATTCTACTCTCTATCTTTATGAGACTGACTTTTTTTTAAAGCTCCCATATATGAGTGAGACCACACAATACTTGTCTTTCTGTGCCTGGGTTATTTCACTTAATGCTTCCAGTTCCATCCATGTTGCTATAAATGATGTGATTTTTTTCTCTTTTTTATGGCCAAATAATGTTTCATTTTGTGTGTATACTACATTTAAAAAATTCATTTGTTTGTTGGTGGACACTAAGGTTGATTCCATATCTTTGCTTTTGTGAACAGTGCTGCAATAAACACATGAATGCAAGTATCCCTTTGTTATACTGATTTTTTTTTCTTTGGATAGATACCCAGGAGCAGAACTGCTGGATCATATGGTTCTATTTTTATTTTTTTGAGAAATCGTCATAAAGTTCTCCACACCAGTTGCACTAATTTGCATTCCCACAAACAGTGTATGAGTTCCCTCTTCTCCACATCCTCACCTGTTAGTTTTTTGTCTTTTAATCATAGCTATTCTAACTGGGGTAAGATGATATCACATTGTAATTCTGATTTGCATTTCTCTGATGATTAGTGATGCTGAACTTTTCTTCATGTACTTGTTGGCTATTTGTATGTCTTCTTTTGAGAGTTGTCAATTCATGTCCTTTGCCCACTTATTTTATTTTATTTTACTTTAAGTTCTAGTATACATGTTCAGAAAGTGCAGGTTTGTTACATAGGTATACATGTACCATAGTGGTTTGCTGCACCTATCCATCTGTCATCTAGGTTTTAAGCCCCACATGCATTAGGTGTTTGTCCTTATGCTCTCCCTCGTTTTGCCACCCACCCCCCAATAGGCCCCAGTGGGTGATGTTCCCCTCCCTGTGTCCGTGTGTTCTCATTGTTCAACTTCCACGTATGAGTGAGAACATGCGGTGTTTGTTTTTCTGTTCCTGTGTTAGTTTGCTGAGAACGATGGCTTCCAGCTTCATCTATGTCTCTGCAAAGGACATGAACTCATTCTTTTTTATGGCTGCATAGTATTCCATGGTGTATATGTGCCACATCTTCTTTATGCAGTCTATCATTGATAAGCATTTGGGTTGGTTCCAAGGCTTTGCTATTGAATATAGTGCTGCAATAAACATACGTGTGCATGTGTCTTTATAGTAGCATGATATATAATCCTTTGGGTATATAGCCAGTAATGGGATTGCTGGTTCAAATGGTATATCTGGTTCTAGGTCCTTGAGGAATTACCATGCTGTCTTCCACAATGGTTGAACTAATTTACACTCCCACCAACAGTGTAATAGTGTTCCTGTTTCTCCACAACTTCATCAGCATCTGTTGTTTCCTGACTTTTTAATAATTACCATTCTAATTGACATGAGATGGTATCTCATTGTGGGTTTTTTTTTTGAGATGGAATCTTGCTCTGTGGCCCAGGCTGGAGTGCAGTGGCCTGATCTCGGCTCACTGCAACCTCCGCCTTCTGGGTTCAAGAGATTATCCTGCCTTAGCCTCCCAAGTAGCTGGGACAACAGGTGTGCACCATCACACCCGGCTAGTTTTTGTATTTTTAGTAGAGTCAGGATTTCATCATATTGGCCAGGCTGGTCTTGAACTCCTGACCTCGTGATCCTCCCACCTCAGCCGCCCAAAGTGCTGGGATTACAGGCATGAGCCACCATGCCCAACCCTCATTGTGGTTTTGATTTGCATTTTTCTAATGACTAGTGATGATGAGCTCCTTTTCATATGTTTGTTGGCTGCATAAATGTCTTCTTTTGAGAAGTGTCTGCTCATACCCTTCACCCACTTTTTGATAGGGTTGTTTTTTTCTTGTAAATTTGTTTAAATTTCTTGTAGATTGTGGATATTAGACCTTTGTCAGATGGGCAGATTGCAAAAATTTTCTCCCATTTATAGGGATGGGCAAGGACTTCCTGACTAAAACACCAAAAGTAATAGCAACAAAAGTCAAAATTG